ACACTTGATGCCAAGGTTGATGCGAGCAACGGCCGCACTCGCTGGATTGTTGCCGAACCTCGGGGGACCTAACGCTGCTTGCAGGCGGCTATATGTGGGCATTGTGCGTTCTATGGCCTTATATGGGGCCCCAGTGTGGGCTGAAGCCCTAAATGGCGGAAATGTGGCCCTATTGCGCAAGCCTCAACGGGCGATGGCAATTAGAGTCTCGCGAGGGTACCGCACAATTTCCTACGAGGCGGCCTGCTTGCTGGCAGGGTCTCCCCCTTGGGATTTGGAGGCGAGAACTCTCGCCGCAGCTTATGTGTGGCGTGAAGAGGCGCAAATTCGGGACCTCAGACCAACACCCGAGGAGGTTGAGGTTAAGAGGTCTGAGCTGCGTCTCATTCTATACGATGAGTGGCGACGGAGACTGACGCAACCCTATGCTGGTCTCCGAACAATCGAGGCAGTTCGTCCAGTCTTATCGGAGTGGCTGGACAGGAAGTATGGCGTCCTGACATTCCGCATGACACAGGTGCTCTCGGGGCATGGTTGCTTCGGGAAGTACCTGTGTCGAATCGCCGGAAGGGAGCCTACTTCAGCATGTCACCACTGTGACAGCTGCCTCGAAGAGACGGCCCAGCACACGCTGGAGGAGTGTCCTGCATGGGTTAAGCAGCGCGGTGAACTTGTCGCCGCCGTGGGGAGCGAACTTTCTCTCCCAACCATAGTTCGCTCAATGGTTGAGAGCAAAAGGTCGTGGGACGCAGTCCAGGCATTCTGCGAGGAGGTCATGGTGAAGAAAGAGGCGGCGGAAAGGGAAAGGGAAGATTCAGCCCCTGACCCGATCCGCCGTCGGAGAGTGGGTCGCAGAAGGAGAGCTATGGCTCTTCAGCTGCCGACATAGGCGGGTAACGGGAGGCGAAAGCCCCCGTGACATGGGTCCATGAGCGGCAGACTTAGGGGATTCCGTCGCTCGTTACTGGTGGACCCGAGATGGCGGCGTATGTGTTCCGCGTGTGCCACTCAAGATTGTTGACGGGGAGACAAGAACTCTCCCCGAAAAGCGAGATGGGGTTCGGCGCCCAGTCGGATCAATCACCGCCGGAGTCGCGGAAGAATGCGTAAGCGTCCCCGTGTCTTCGGCACATGGTGAGAAGATGGAACACCGTCAGGTTTTAGTCGGTAGGAGTCCGACATAACTCTTCGCCTCCCCCGGGCGGAGGGTATCCATGAGGATTTCCTGACGTAAAAAAAAAAAAAAAAAAAAAAAAAAAAAAAAAAAAAAAAAGGTGAACGGTAACACACGCTGAGTTGGATCCGTCGTTCCAGCTTATAGATAGGTATATGTAATAATTAATGTGAATTATCTGTTTAGCTTGAATTATCTTAAGCTGAATAAACGTTTCTTTCTTTCTTACTTCTGACAAGGAACTGTTTCACAAGGAGCTCTATTGCTACTAAAAGAATCATAATATACAGGTCATCGTAAGGCCATGGTACACAGAGCGAAAGTATACTATGTTCCTTGCAAGGAATTAATCCTTATAATGAACTCTTCTAATCGACACCACAAAATTACAGGATTTTTTTCACCTTTGGTCTGCTGGATAAATAACGGTAAGCAACTTTTTCAAAACCTTTGAATGAAGTATTACTTACTTTAAAAAATAATGTCTCATGAAGCAAAGTATCCTATATTTAAAACACTAGGTAGGTAAAGTAACAGTTTCTTTATTGTACTTACTTTTTGCGAGAGATCCTTGTCAATTTCTTCTCTTTGTTTTCTTATCTTCTGTACAGATTGTTGAGCTTCCTGCATAACACAAATGTGGATCAAACAAAATTGTTATTTTCACGTATTTGTTTAAATATTATTATCTGTTCTTGGCACTGCATCGCATAGCTGTTACGAAACCAAATATTTCGTCAGGTATTGGGGTAGCAGTTTAAAGTTTAACAAACACACTACTGTAAATCAACAGCACCTGTTCCTTTTCCTTGGCCATGTTTTCAAACTTAGCACGAATGGAAGATGGCTTGGCGCCGCCGATGTCCGGTTTCTGCTTCGTGTAGTTGGTGCCAACTTTCTCCACATCACCAAACTGGTGCGCCGACTTGTCCACTCGGTCTGTTTCTACGCCGAATTTGCCCCCGAAGCCCTGATAAATTAAAAAGTGTAAATGTACTGAAACAACCAATGTGTGTCCCGCTATAGGTGCCCACAGTTTACTCGATTTTTGACGATCGTTACTACGAGTTATTAGTAATCGACAAATATAAAGGTTAAAGTTGAACAAATTTGTAGACGCCTATGCCTAATTCAAAAACACATTTACTAACACTCCACAGCATCGTTGGCTAAAAAAACGTCTGTTGCTTACACATTTACTTTACTCGATTTTGTCTGATCACACGTGTCGATCGTCAAATAAATCAAGCAATTCTGTATTTGTTCCCCTTATCGGATAAACATGCCCTCTAAAATCGTCGCCCCATAGCATATTAAGAAATATTACACTGGATCGACCCGTACGTATAATGACGTCACAGGCATAAGGAGGGATGATGTTAGCGGAATTCCAAGTTTTCAAGAGTTTCATTAACCGTCCCCGATTATCAGGTTTCACTACCAAATTATTGCTTACTGTCGAAGTATGAATTAAGTAAAAGGCAGGTGATAAAAACAATTTTAGACGAACCTTCTTGTGGTCCGTCTGGCTGGCATGCGCGGTGGACTTCTCCTGGTGATCCCATCCTAAGGCGGAAGCATCTTGTCGATCCGTTTGCACTCCGAATTTACCACCGAATCCGAGCGCATAGTCTAATACAAAACAAAAAAACATATTTTACATTGAGTATGCCACATTGTTTCAACTAACGCAGTTTAGGGATTACATTTTTATAAGGATTTTATACGTTTCATACGGTTTCTCGCCTCCAGTGCAACGGAACAAGATACGTCAATGTGTAGCTTGATGTGCTGGCGTTTGTACATTAAAATGTACTAAATTTAATTACATGCATACCCTGAGTTTTGTATAAAAAACATATTTTTCTAACGTTAATAAATTTGAATGCGATATTTTCATTGTAATACACAATATTTTTTGGGTCTTCACATATCATGTACATTTGGAAATACACGATGTCTCAGGAGAATATATATCGCTTCGGCTAAAACAAAATTTCGTTAACTGACTTGGCCGAACAGTTACCATGCTGGTCTGTCACGCAAAGATTCCGATTTTTGAAGTTCGATTCCCGGGCCAGGTGAAATATTTGTATAGTCTACATTTATTTCTCTCGTGAGTTTGGATGTAATTTGTGGTTGGCAATGTGTGTGTCCATGGCACCCGCGACACAGGGTTTCCCTAGTGCGTTATTATTATGGGCTATGTTGAGTGTGTGTGCATTATTATTATTTGTATAAACTACACTACAAACATACAATTTTCTTTCCTTGTCATTTTTTGGGTTAATATAAAAAATACGTGTTTTCAATTATTTTTTGGGGTGGTGGGCGCTGAAATTTTTTAACTTGCCAAGTGAGTGGTGGGAACCTATGGTCTAACACATTCAATGCCGAAGCATGTTCAATAAACAATAGTCAACTTCTACGACGTTACAGCTAACATTTTCCTTCCTCGTAACATTAAACGCAATTTGAATTCCTCTTTTCTTACTATTTATATAATTTTTTTTTTCGATATTAATCACGCATTTTTAAACAACTGCATTGCATACCTAACAATAGTGTATAATGTAATTTTGCGCTATATAAGAATAATAGCACCAACTGTTATTCCAGAAAGCCACATATACAACAAAACCATTAATAAAAAAAATAAAACAACTTGATGTCCCAAATATCATGTAACAACATACCTTTCTGTGATCCGTGATGTTGCATTTCCTCCCTGTGGTCCCAGCCGACAGCGGAAGCGTCCTTCCTGTCGGCCTGCACGCCATACTTCCCGCCAAAACCAACCGAATAATCCTTTTGAGACGGATGTTTCTCGACTTCTTCTCTGTGTTCCCAGCCGGCGGCACTCTACATTAACAAAAATATATATAGCCACAATCTCTGTGCAGAGTACTAAAAAAAACTGACCTCAAAAGTCATTCTTCTCCTAGTTTGCCACCCCTAGAGTGGAATATTTTCTTCAAATTTAAATGGGACCACTACTGAGGTACCCTCTTTCCAACACAAAAAGAACCATGAAAATCGGTTCACGTAACATACATACAAAAAAAAAACATAGTCGAATTGAGAAACTCCTCCCTTTCTAGAAATCGGTTAAAAACATGTGGATTACTCATTCTGAAGATTAATTACAACGAGTTTTATATTGTATCAAGATTTCTATTACAATAATATTACATTAAGTAATCTGTGGATAATGTGGTTGATTGTACTATTAACTAAACCGATATTCTTATTATGTATAACTCACCATGTACAATTGTTTGTCATTCCTCAATAAATACAATAAATTATGCAGGGTATTTGCAAAATACTAACAACCTCTCAGGACTACATTGCTAACATCTTAAATAACAACTTAATATGTTCCTTGACTTTTAATAATTCATCAGAGATTACTTTTATGCAAAGCGCTGGAGCGTAGTAGTAGTAGCGAATAGTACTGCTCTAATTTTTAATTGCGTCTAATTTTGATTCTTAAGCCAGTTTTAATACCAATCTGTAATGGCTACTTCTAATCATGTGCCAATTTTAATACCAATCTGTAATACTATATAACTCGGCCGGGTAAGTCTGTCCCACGTTTAGTATTTAAGTAGGTTGTGTTTTGTAGCGTTGTACCTGTTTTTAATATACCTTTTTTTGTTACAGCCTCTTTTCGTCCCTTTCGATTTAATTACGAATAATTTTTTTGCGGACCGAAGTAGCCTATTTTATAGCCGTGAGCCTGGTCATGGCTCATTAGGGTTTACAACATTTTCAGACTTACTACCTTACTCACCAAATATAGATCTAAAAAGTGTCAGATAGTACAACAAAAACTTTGAAGTTTATTTTTGGTAAATTTATTATTACGTTTTGTAAAAAGCATTTGAACAAAAGTTATTTACTATGTTAGTAATATGGTCCAGGGAGGTTATTGGTAATTTACTAATAGCACTATATAAGTGCGATTTAAAATAAAAAACAAACCCACCTTATCAACTCTATCCGACTGCACACCATATTTTCCACCGAAGCCCTGCGAGTAGTCAGTCTGCGACACGTGCTTCTCCACTTTGGCGACATAATCGTGCCCTACTGCTGATTTGTCCATACGATCCGATTGGACACCAAACTTCCCACCGAAACCTATAAAAAAAAATTAATATGGATGCAGTAGTGCCACTCTAACCAAAAATCTCATGGTCCATATTATAAACACCTTTTCAATTTAAGTATCACGGACAGTCCTATATGCAGAGCGTAGAGGAAACGGCCGCACACATCATGTTACAATGCTCTGGCGTTCCCCAAGTCTTCAGCAAACCCAGGAGGATGCTGATATTTTTGGAGGAGCTTGGACGGTACAAGTACGGGACCTGTACCCACCACACATAAAATAGGCGCCTAAACGTTGAGTAGCAGACGCCAGCCCGTTGCACGTGAATGCAGCGCAGTATACGAGATACGCATTGGGAGTTACATATTGTTCGAAGAGTCCATAAGGAACATACTAGGATCATAGCATCAGAGGCATGTTGCCTTACCTTGTGAATAATCTTTCTGTGATACGTGTTTTTCAGTTTTCGCAACGTAATCATGGCCGACGGCTGATTTGTCCATTCTGTCACTTTGTACGCCAAATTTTCCACCATATCTGTGTGCAATAAAATATTCACGACTCCGAAATACTGAGAAAATTTAAATAAGTAGCTAATAAATACTGCTCGAAAATGAAGCCTAGCTCCTGATATTCTTTGTTTTTCGTTAATCACGTAAGAAAGAAAATAACAAAAGAAAATATAATGGCTCTTTTTTCCCTACCACTATCTATAGTGTTGCAAGAATAATACTAAATAAAAAACTCTTTAATTCAATGTGATTATCTGAAACACTGTTACAGTATCTACATTAAATAAATATTACAGCAATAATTAATTTAACATTCTTACCCGTAAGAAGGTTTTGGTCCTTCCGCATATTGCTTTTGCTTAGCCAATGTGTCTGCTTCTAAAACCTCTTCTCTCAATTTCGCCATACTGTAAATTCAATCATTAAAATTGGCTAACAAAGCATTGAGAGTAAGAACAGTTTAATTTTTATAAGTAACTAGCTGGTGCCTGCGACTTCGTCTGCGTAGAATAAGTACTTTGAATATCCTACTACTGTACTATGTAAATTTTCATAGTTTTGTTTTTTTTTTTTAATTTATAATATCGAGTGACGGGACGAACAGGTCGTGCGCCTGATGGCAAGCTACACGCCAGTACATAACAGTTGCAGCGGCACTCAGAACTATAAGTTGCAAAGATCTGAGGGGCACTGCCACTGCGCCCGTCACCCTGAGACATAAGTTGACAAGTCTCATGTAATGTAATTTCACCAGCACCCTTACCCTTCAAAACCAGAACACAGTAATGCTGACATTACCGCTGGGCGGCAGAAATAGATAAGATGGCAGTTCTTCCCAGAATGAACTCTTTCACAAGGAGCTCTACCGCTACTAGGTTCTTGCAAACTTTCCCTTCCCTTTCCTCTCTCTTATTTTGCCCCTTTTAAGATTTATTTTTGTAAAAAGTAGCCTATGTCCTTCTCCTAAGTCCCATCCACCTCTATACCAAAATTCATCAATATTGGTTCAGGCATGAAAATGTAACAGACAGAGTTACTTTTGCATTTACAATTTCAGTCTGAAAGTGTGGATATTGAAAATATTAACACTTGTAAACATTGAAGGACGATGTGCATTATATGATTGAGGATTGATAAATTTGGAACGAATTTAACACTATATTATTAAGCAAAGAGTGGTACACATATACTATTATTATTTTCTACTAATTCCATAATCCATCCACTATTGGAATAAAAGTCAATGTAAGGGGTTATTGTTAGTAAGCAGATGTGGTTCGAGATATCATTCATGTAGTCTACAGTAAGCACACAATAAAAACAAGGGCAATGTACCCTTATATGTATCGGATTCGTAACGACTTCCTTTGACTGTAATTTATTAATAAACCAGACAAACATTGACCCCATATCATAATAAAATAAATACCATTGTCTGATATTTTGAAGTCTGTCACAGCCTGAATCAATGAATGAATGCTTATGAATAACGAAACTCACTCAATAGCTTCTACATTTCTTCCACCAGGGCCCCATCTTTGTTCATGCTCTGTGACATCATTTACAAAGTCCGGATCAGTCTCCCAGTCCTCCGCCTCAGGCATGGCAGGAGCAGCCACATCAGTTGCCGCTTTCCACATCTAAACCACACCATACATGCTGTTTTAGTCAGGTAGTTTTCTGTAGTTAAATGTGTTTAAGGTCCTTTGTGCATCACACATTACAAAATAGCTTCATCATTTCTTATTGTGTACAAACCAGCAAGCAAACACTATTAATCTGGTTAAGTGGCTACATGCTGACATGTACAACACCATGGCAGTATTCTTAACATCACAAATGTGTTGCTGGCGGATAGTACAATGGATCCTAAATCTTATGTGCCTTGACACAAGATCCCAATGATTGCAAAGGAACACACTATCTTACAGAATATGTGTAAGTTGGTACATAAAAAAAGACACTCATATTAAAAAAAAGTGTTTATTATTTTTGCTAACTATAACGGCAGCCTTTAGTATTGGTCTGTATAATTTTGTACAAGTTTGTACTGAGTACCACCTACACAGGTAGCACAATTCGTACAGATTGACAGCTGAGTATTACAAGTCTTAATAAGTATAACAAAATTTATTTATTAATAAATTTAATCATATACATCACACTTTTAACAATAGACCGTAGAAACAATTGAATTGGCACATCTCTAATCATCTGTGGAATTTGCACCTGCAATTGGTTTGTGCATACTTAAATATACTTGATGGCCGCATTTACAGATTTTGTCTTACTTATAAAAATAAAAGATTACAGACAGGGAAGCAAGTGGCGAAAAACACACATGTGAACAGGCAACGTACATAACTTTCCAAGAAATAGGTTATTTTTTATGATATTGGTAATAACATTGACAGGCTGGAAATGTGGGTTTGTTTGAAAAAACATATAATGCCATTTAGATCTAGCAAAATAGTTTTAACTTCCAATCTGTATCAATTTTGGAAACCTAACAACTCCTATAAAATGGTAAATTATAATGAATATTAAATTGCCTTAACTTCTGCAATGCTGATACAAGTATACCAGTCAGTTTTCTGACTTTTGCATAAACATCATTCTTTTGCAAATCTAAAGAAGGAACACAACACTGTTGCATTACAATACCAATGACTCATAAAAAAAACATTATCTCATGGTTACTAAAGCTTCAAAATGTTATTTATGTTAATTATGTGTCAGCTGAAGAGGAAAACAATATTAATTAGAATAACATCACTACACCTTGCTATCAATATCTTACCATATTGATGACTAACAGTTTTTCTGGAAAAGTTTAGTAATACTTCAATAACATAAATTAAGGCCATATCTAATTTTATCTTGGTAGAAAAAACTGATAAGAAAGTACTAACATAGGCACTCCTACAAAGAAATACCAACATTAGCAAGTAAAATTTTGCCTAAAAATTTTGCAGTCTAAATAAGTACCACAAATCCGAAATGTCCGAAAGTTGCGAAAATTGGAAACCAGGTTTCATAGCAGCAAATTAAATGCCAAGTTCACTTTTATATAATGACAGCCAGCTTCAAATTGACATATTTTGGAAAATTAAGCCATAAAATGCACTGACAATCCAAAATAGAAGGATTTTCGATAAATATTTTCTGTAAAATTCATTAGACTTTAATTAACACAAAAATACTGATTTAACTATTGTATACGATATAACACGAACATATTTTCAATACCAAACCAAATTTACACAGTTAAATGTAAATCTTCCGATCGAATCACCTTAAAGATATGGGACGGCCAAATCGCGGTTATACTTATGTAGTAAACATGACTAATATTCGCATAGCAATCGGTCTAAACCAACAACTTTGAATTATTTGTACTAAGTTACAGAAATGTTACAATATAATAAATAGTACATACCTTGCGATAGAAAGCCGGCCCAAACGAAGTCTCAGTACCACGTAGACAAGAAATCTGTTTAGAGCGCGCAACTTTTTATTTAATACAGCTAGCTAGATGTTGTTCCAATGCCCACCACAGATTGTACGTACAACTAATAAACTCTAAGTCGATTTAAAGCAAAATACTTAAGAAATAGGATATTATTTGATTTGCCAGCACAGATTTGCAGTGGGTTAAAATCCAATCAACCCGCCCGGATTTTAAACAGGTTTTTACCCAAAGTAGGGATGCACATTACGATTAAATTTTTATAAAGATCGATTCAAGTGTAAACGATCTAGCTATTTTTATATCGATTCATTTCAATGCAATTTTGCAAATCTAAACAAAAAAAGCTTCTTTAAACCCCTACTGAATCGTAAGGTAGTCAAATTATATTGGTCTGCAAGAAAAGTAGTTTGCTAACATCTATCCATCTAAGTCTACGATATTTGGCAATTGTTACTACTTTGTGCCATCTGAATATCTTTTCTAATTGGTTAATATAACTGTAAATTAAAGTCGCAACCGGCTGAGGCCGAAAGGGCTGTCAAAATTAAGTTTTTTTTATCAAAAGTTATTTGAAATGATTTTTATGAGATTGATTCAAGAGCATATGTGGATCTGTGGATCGATTCAGAAGCACACGATCCATTACGATCCAAAAAATCGATTCCAAACATTGTGAATTGTACAACAACAAAATCGTGCATCCCTAACCCAAAGTGCTGGGTTTTAATTCATTCTTGCCCAAAATCGTGGGTATTCCATCATCATCATCATATTTAAGAGTTACAATCTTGTTGGTGGATCGTCTTCCAATCGTCTCTGCTATAAGCCAACTCCTTGACCTCCTTATGTGACACGAAACCGTATCTTTCTATCCTAGGTTGACCTTTTCCTCTCTTCCCTTCCATTTTTCCCTTTAAATCATAGATTTAGTATATAAAATACATGCTTTAAACTGACTTAGAAATTGTCGTGTCGTATTAAAAAAAACCAATAATTTTTCCCTCGTCTATTCTCTATTATTCAGGATCGTTCTTTTCTCGTTTACCATTCTCAATATTTCCTCATTGTTTTTGGTTTTCTTTTCCATCCTACTTACGCCCTTCATTCTCTGCCAGCAACACATATCAAAACAACAATTCCTCTAACTGCGTTGAAGTTTCTGCAAATGCAGCAATGTCGTCTGCGAAATATCGATGTAAAAATCTTTTTTAGATAAACAAGAGGCAATTCCTTGCAATTCTGTGGATTTTCACTACTAAGGATGCGCATTAAGATTCGATTTTTATGAAGATCGATTCAAGTGCATACGTTATTACGATTTTCTGTATCGATTTATTTTAACGTGATGTTTCAATAGAAAATCAAATCGAATTGCCTAGATCAGAAAGCAATAAACATTTGATAATAACATCTATAAATTTGAACAAAACTCGATTTACAAGAAATATTTAGTTGTATGTAACGTAGCTTTTGCCCTCGATTTCGCACGTTAATGGGTTATTACCCGATTTAAACCTGGCTAACAAAGCGTCGGATTAAAACTCGAGCACATGCCCACCTCTGATTGCGAGTCGTTTCATTACCAAAAATCTATGGTCTTAGTACTTATTTGGTCTGTGGTCTTCCATTTCCATTGTTTTCTTGTAGACAGTGTGACCAGCGTTTTTCCAGAAGTTACTATTGAGTTGTCTAGATGGCGTTGATAATTGTTATTATAGGGTATAGTGTTCTGTATTGTATGTACACTATGACATACATCATGACACGCTTGATCCCTATAAAAATACGTCTTATTCGATTAAAATAGCTCAGGCCCCAGTTCCATTCATGTTTATTAAGAATACAGGTGAAAAATGAAACCCTCACTATTCGTAATACGAGTATGTAACACCCTTAGAACTTCTACTCAATTCACAAACCTTTATTCTCAAAGTGCATTTTATGGACGTTAACGACATAGTTGCAAAATTTTCTATTATTTAATTACATTATAATTCGTTTCTCATACAAAACATTACGTAAACACATTTAGTATAGAATTGTAAGCAAGTTCGGTCAAAGAAGTATTTAAAAAAATTACAAACGAAAAAGACACGCAATATTTAGATACAATATTTACGCAATATTCTATTTTTTGTTCTTCAATAATTTTTTTTTTGTGTTTGTGATGGATATTTACTCCTTTAAATGCTCTTTAAGTTTTTTTAGAGACAAAATCTCATCACGGCAACCATAAATTGCAACTTTCCAATAACTTTGTAAAATGACTGTACTCCGGTAGAGTGTGAAATTGAAACTGAATCGATATCAAAGAGATTTAAAAAATTCAAAATTCAAATCACCTTTATTTCTTAAGCAAATTACACTGAAATCGTCTAATTAATTAAACTCTACTGCTCATTGGTAAGGCAGAGTCCCCTGAGAAGAATGAGCTAGAAACTCTAGGGGTTGCTCTTTTAAATATACTTTTGAATACATTTAAAATTTACAATATTTATTTTAAACATCTTAGATTGAGACTTCCTGCAAGAGTTAAACGGGTCACTACCACGGATTCGTGTCATCCGAGTACGCCGATGCTGTTTATTAAGTATATTAAGTATGTAGTATAAAGTTATTGTTTCACTATAGTTTTAAGCCTCGTAAATGGCAATATTTGAATATCAACCGGAATCAAAAAATTTTATTTATACATTTAAATGGATATGTGACTTTGTGAAGACGACTGCCAAGAATAGCTAGTTTGTATTTATTTCTCGTGTTAATGTTATTCTGTCACTATTTTTAATAAAAATTACTATTCTCCTTAATGTAAATAACATTTTATGTAAATGTACTGTTACGCAAGTGTAAGAATATTAATCTCTTTAAACTTAGGATCTCTCAAAGACACTCTGGGGCCCAGATTGTAAATTACCCTAATCGCACGTTTCTGCAGGATAAAGATTCTATTAGCTGCGGCGGCATTACCCCAAAACGAAATGCCGTATGTCATTAAACCATGAAAGTAGCTGAAGTAAACCAGTCTAGCTGTTAGTCTGAAAGACTTTGACACTGTGCAGCTAAGCCGTTTTGATAACTTACTTATATGTGGATCCCATTGCAATTTAGCATCTAAAGTTATACTTAGGAATACAACTGTATCTACAAGGTTCAATTTTTCGTTTCTCACTATAATGTATCCAGGCACATATGGCGTATTTTTACAGTAACAATTTAGATTTACCCAATGTTAGGCACACGGCCGCAAACATTATAGTTAGAAACGAAAAATTGAACCTTGTAGATACAGTTGTATTTCTAAGTATAACTTTAGATGCTAAATTGCAACGAGATCCACATATAAGTAAGTTATCAAAACGGCTTAACTGTGCAGTGTCAAAATCTTTCAGAAGCCGAAACAACTAGACTGGTTTACTTCAGCTACTTTCAGCATTTTGTTTAGTAGTAGTAGCGGGGTAGTGCCGCCGCAGCTAATAGAAACTTTGTCCTGCAGAAACGTGCAGTTAGGGCAATTTACAATCTGGGCCCCAGAGTGTCTTTGAGAGCTAGAAAGTGTGACAGCTACAAAGTGTCCGAGAAAAGAAAGCGATTGATCCCTTCTTGCGTTAAAGTTCCAGCGATAGCATAGTCCGATACATCAGTTTCTACAGTAAAAGGGATTTTGTCATCAATGGCGTGCAGAGATGAGTCCGCTATTTCTTTTTTTATTAATTGAAAAACATTCACAGCTTCTAATGACATAGGAAATTATTCTTGTGCAAGAGAATGGATTTTGTTTGAAAAATGAGGAATCCATTTCGAATAATGTGCAAATAGTCCTAGGGCTCTAGGACCATTTGTCTTAGAGAAGCAGTGCTTTCAGGAACGGGGAGCTCTAAAAGTGGGCGTAGTCGATCAGGATCAGGCTTTATTATTCCATCGTAAATACTATAGGTCAATATATTGATTTGCTGTTTTGAGAATTCGCTTTTATCTAGATTCAGGGTCAAGTTATAGCGAGTGGCGATATCGAGGAAATGTTTCAAATTTTCGTTGTGATATTCTTGGTCTCGTCCGCATACAGTGATAACATCGAGATATGCGTATATCCCCTGGGATTTTTTCTTTAACTAGGATCGTGTTGATAGCCCTCTGGAACCCTGACCCTAACATCACATTTACATCGGTGTAAACGAGTGTTGCGAAGTAGAAAATAGTTTTCCGTATCACACAGCCGTGGATTACGACGTGCATAATTTAACAGTATATTTTCATAAAAATATACTTTGTTCTTGCTATCCTACGACGACATTTTTAATACTTCAAAATGTGTAATAAAATATTATAAGGTAAATTATTATAATCTCTAATTAAAACCAGTTAAGTACCTATATCTTAGTAATATTATAAGCAGTGTATCCTTAATATGCAAATTACAAGTATTACGTAAAATAATATTTATATTAATATAAATATATTAATACCTAAATCTATACCCAGCACAGGATGATTGATCAGGGGTCACCCTCTGCTGGGCATAGATTTACGTGAAATGAATGAAGGAACATAAATCTTATCTTAGTTACAGCGCGATTATATGAACATATATATTTCAATTAACAAATTATAGAAAATTAAATTTTTATTGAATTGATATTCAGTTATTTTTTGTGAAATTACTCCACTAGTTTGTTATAATTATTAATACAAAGATCGAACACTCAGAAAAATATTCCTTCGATCCCCCTATAGAGAATAAATATATAATATAAGGTAAATTATAGAAATACACTCACACTTTATTGCAAACTTGCCGAACGAAACATTGGGACAATCACGAAGATAAAGTCGACGCATTTAAACAAGGAGTACCTATAACGCATCGCGGAACTTTAAAAGCGTAAGTATAAATGTTCTGCAATATTGCACCGGCCGTGAACACCGCTACCAATTAAATCATGTACATTTCCTACGTGAAAGTGACTCAATGCAAAATCACATTA